TAACACAATGTAATTTGAAAAATTTACCCGTTAATCGGTGTAATAAGTTGGTCTGGATATGGATTGCATAATAAGGTGAATCATGGTCCATGAAAGGATCTATTATTTGATCCAAAGAAAAATAAACAGCTTTTAAGACAATTGTGTAATAAGTGTTTTGCGGTCAGACATGAACGGTTTAACCCTCAAACTACAAAAACCAAATCGTGAAGGCCGTTTGGGAAGTGATCAAACCACCAAAAAAGCAGTCTAGTGTGACTGAGGGCCTGTTTACTTGAGGCTTAATGAGCTTAGTGGATAAACCGACTTATTCACACAGACAAGCAAGACTGTTTACCTTGGGCTTATTCGCTCAGAAATGGGCTGCCCAGATGAAAAACCTGTGTTGTCCAGGTTAAGCCAAGGTAAAAACTTGCCCTACCCTTACACAATAGTCGCGCCTCTCTCAACTCATGTCTCTTCTCCATCGATCCAACACCCTATTGTCGTGCCTCTCTCAACGCAAGACCTTCGATCTCTTCTCCATCGATCGATTGTTGCTCTCTTCTCCATCGGTTGTTGGTCTCTTCTCCATCGATCGACTATTGCTCTCTTCTCCATCGGTTGTTGATCTCTTTTCCATCGATCGACAGATGTTGCTCTCTTCTCCATCGATTGATGGCTGTTGCTCTCTTCTACATCGGTTGTTGCTCTCTTCTCCAAAATCTATCGATTAAGGTATTTGCTGCTGTTAATTTTTGCTGTTTGCTTAAGGTTTGCTTACCTGTTAATATTTGCTATTTTTATTACATTTGTTTACCTGTTAATGTTTCAAAAATCACACAGTTGTGTATGGCATTTGGTGATTATGGGTTTTGGTTATGTTCTTTGTCCTACTTAGGTTTTAGGTTACAATGACTGTGAAACATTTGAAAATTAGAAATTGGGTACAAGAAATTTCCAATTTCAAGCTGTTGTTTGCACCTTTAGTTGATTAGTAAATAGAGATTATGGTATATATCATGGAAACAAGAAATTTCAAACTGTTGTTTGCCTTTTTTAGGTATTTGTTGTTTGATCAGGGGTAAATTGGTCATTTATGTTATTAAGACTGTTGATTCAGACAGAAAAGTAAACAACAACATAAATTTATCCAGACAGACAAATTTATCCATACATGACTTAATAGAAAATTTGGTAAACAACCCATGATTTAGATAGTTTGGCTTTGCAGTGGTCCTTGAGATAAAACTGACAGAACGGCCGAAAATGACCAGATAAAATTAGACATAAAAAATAAACTAAAGTGGCAAACTATATACATTGATGTTCATATAGCCGTTGACCAACTTTTGTTACTGTTTTTCAGTTTTCTGGTAATATGCTACTCTTTCACAAACAAACCGGAACTTGAGAGCCGCAATAAAAAATGGCTAATTTTTTTGGTTTGAAAAGTGGCAAACTACGTAATGGTAAGTTTTTGGCGACATTGTTACAAAATAGGTGAGAGACGAAACTTTTATATTGATGGTCAAACAGATAATGATTATAATAGAGTTTATCTTTAATAATGATCCTATAGTTAAAAAGCTACGCTATCTGATTTTCACCACAAAAAAGCTTCAAACGTGCAAAGAGAGAGATATGCTTGGAACAAGTAAAACCCTAGCCAAATAAAGATTTAAAACCCGTCTAGGTTTGGGAGCCCCCGTGACTTCGCATGCGACCTAGAGTCGTGGGTGAAGTCGCCCATACCCAAATAGTTGCGACCAACCCTTCGCGTGGAGATCGTCGGACAAATGTAAACATATGCAATCTTGGTTCTTTCATTTACGGTACATACAATCTAAACTACCCAAAAGTTGTAAAAACCTTCATCATTCACCAATTTGGAGTAGCTTTCCCTCAATCATAGCATTCAGTGCGCATAGGTAACAGCATGCAAACACTTTTTCAACAGCACGACGAAATCGCTTCAAATTGGTAGAAAATGCTATAACAAAAATATGCAAACATTTAAAATAAACTTGCTTAACTTTTTATAAACCAAGTCTATTGAGCCCATCTCTCCGTTGGATGAAATATTTGTCACGACTTGCTTCAAATTGAAAAATACGAAGAAATAAACTATAACCCATTCGAAATCGTCAATGGAAAATCATCTTAGACCATCCCACATCAATGAAATCTCAATATCTTCAAATGTCCCACATCAGTTGTTGTGATTACTCATATTTCAAAAATGATCTCTACTGTTACATCAATAACTACTTCAGCATTTATAATATTGACGGATGCCGAGTCCACCAAATAATAAATTCCAACTAACGACTAATTACAACCAAAATTGTAGTAGTGTAAGTCGGGTCGAATCCACAGAGACTCGGTCTAACGTTATACGACTAGCGAATCAAGCACACGATGGAAGCGTAAAAATACTAATAATCACAAAAAAGGGGGGGGGGGGTTTGAATTTGATTAATTACTCTAAAAATGCAATAATATAAACTAAAACAATTGATTAAAATCCCAACATCGATTTAATACCGGTTAAGATATTAGTGCCTATCATCGATTCCAAAAATGTAAACGGAAAGAACAAGCCCGAATTGGCTTTAATCGTTAACAAGCTCTAACAACCCACATTTTCCATAGATAATTGTTGACTAAAATAAGCTCTCTAATCAACCCTTAACCACAAATACAAGTTTAAATAAGCTCTTAAACTCATAGGTGCGACTAGCTTTATCGGACTAGAAAAATTACCAATTCAAAGCCATAAGCTCATAAGCTCGGCTTATCGAGGCTCTAATCACAAGATTTCAAATATTCAATTCGGAAACCTTATCGAAACCAAATGAATACTATTGTTCCTCTATCAAAACTCTAAGACAATTACGTATCTAAGTATTTTGAATAACCATTCCATAAAAGATTTCCAATCAGTTAGCTAAACTAATTAAAAACCCAAMTAGGATTAACATTAAGTTCAGAAATCAAACAAATAAGCTTGTTCAAAMACGATTAYAATRAAATCTCAAAGCAATAACAAATCAAAACCTAATTAAATCAATGTTGGAATGAACAAATTAGCAAGACATGGTTAAACTAAGTTACTGATTCTAAGGGTTTTAGGTYTACCATAAGAATCAGGAAGATTGATGAGAAAAGGTTGTCTTCTCCAATTCTTGCATCCGTGTTCTTCAATGGAACCACCGTCTCGCATCCATCTTCTCCAATCAAACAGCTTGCTGCTGTTTTCAATTGACAGCCCCTTGCTGTCACTCGGTTTCTTCCTCCCGTCTGCTGTCCCTCTCTYGATCCTTTTCGATTTCTGCCTCTAATCGACAGCCCTCGATTTTTCTTGCTGTCGGCTGCTTCCAAAACGAACAGCCCTCGCGACTGTCTCTTCTCCCCGAACGAACCGACTGCTTTTCTCCCCTGTCGAACAGCCCTTGCTCTTCTCCATCTCGCGTCTCTTATAACGAACCAGCCTCCGACTTCTTCGATCACGTCCCTCACCAATCCAATCGATCCCACGTACTCGCTCCCTCGATCTCTCTCGAATAGCCCCTCTCTGCCTCCTCAATCGAACTGCATCAGGCCGATTCAAGATTTTTGAGAAGATGTGGGCTCTATTTGGGCTTGATGAAGTCCACAAAAGTTTGCCACAAGTTGGGTTTTTTCATTTCTTTTTGGGCTAAGACTATAAAATAAAATAATGATTAAGTAAATACATTTATACACCAAATAATTAAGATAAATGGCTTCTTAACTATAATTTTTTTAACCAAAAAAATATAGATATCAAATATATATTCACATTAATATAAGTAGTTAAAGTTTAATTATTAAAATATACAACTTAATAATTAAAATCATAGAATTAGATGTAATAAATATTTAAATACATATTTGATTCAATAATAATTTAATAAAATATACTAAATATAATTTTTTATTCTAATAATCATTTCCTTTTGTTCATCTTAAGCATTTTCCTAGACTACATTCCGACAAATTACAGTTCTCTGGGACTAATGCTTGGACTCGAACCAAGGGGAAGATGGAGTTTTTCCGGATTTTTTTTGTAGAATGTTATCAAATTTCTCAAAACTGATATTGTCCAATGAAATAATTTGACCAAATCCTCAATACTTACTTTGAATAGTAAAACTGATAATAACAAAAAAAATTATCATATTTCTTAGAATTGATACTAATAACAATTACTATATATATTTTATTATTATTAGAAGGGTACTCGTGCAATGCATCGAGACACATTTCGATTTCAATGTTTTGTTTTTTTTATATATGTTGATATAATACGATTTTATGTGATTTTTGCGAAAGCGATAATGTTTTTATTTTTGAATAAAATATAAATATAAAAATATCATATAAAATTTGCAAAAAATATATCAATATTAGTATCAAATTAACTATTTAAAAGTTCTTGTTTGTGTATTTCTTTTAATTCAAAATTTTTATTATGATTTATTTTAACGTAATGAAGTAACTTAATTTAGGTTTAATAATATATTTTTTATAAAGATAATAATTATCTTAATTATATTTTAGATTTTTTATGTTTTTATGTTTTAAATTGAGATATTTATCATTTATTTGATTATGTTTATCCACAGTTAGTTACACGAGTTCAAACATAAAGCTTTAATAAGTTGTACTTACGCACAATATACTTGTAATCTTGAATTTTAAGTAAGATGCATCAATAGTTTTTAAGAATTTTTATCAAATGCTTTATAATATAGTATAGATATTAAGAATATAAATTAAGGAAAGCAAAGGAGAAGATAAAAGAATAAAAGATGAGACCACTAACGTTATGAGTGGTACGTAGTTTGCGTTGTCTTCAACCCTGTGAATTTGTGGCCTCAAATAACAAAAACAAACCCTCAGAATTCAAGAAACTTTATTATGAATCTATATACAACCACTACCCTTGATTAACAAACCTCATAACATGTCATGGTTTCTAAATTAAACCCGTAAATGCATTCCCACATCGTTTACGAGTTCAAATGGAAGAATGCATATATGAAGAAGAGAGGGATGGAGAGGCACGACCTTACTTGAACAGGATCTGTTCTATAGGCTCGTACCTCTGTATTCTTGATTCCTATGAAGACAGAAACCCATGTCTGGTTGATGAGCCAGAACCATGTTGCCAGAGCGTGATTAACCGAGACCCATGGTCTAGGCCATGGCTCAGTAGATGATCGTTGCCATCCCATATGATGGTGTCTTGGCATGGTTACATGGTTGTCTGACAGATAAATTCTAAATTTTTGTTCTGATCTTTCTTGATTCCATATTTCAGTTCTTGAAAAGCAAGTGTTCGATGAAATGTCTCTGCGGGCAGGATATGATCTTTCTTCAGATGATCATGCACTCATCCGGTATGAATTCCCTTTTTCTATTAACCAAACTAGTTTTTATGTATAATGGGTTCTAGAAGCCGTATTAGAAGTAGAGTGTTTAGTTATTCTCTATCTTGATCCTTGTCTTGTAGGTGCATTTGAAGCTTGTATGGAAAATGTGGTATACTATTAGATGCAAAGCAAATGTTTGATGAAATGCTTCCATGGGGGAGGTTATGATTTGTCTTTGCCATGATCATGGACTCATTGAAGAAGCTTGTGGTGTCTAAACTTGTTTATACAAAGGATAGTTTGGACTTCTATGATTGATGGGTTTGTCAAGAATGGCCTTCCAACAGTAAAGGGGGAACCTTAATGGTTGCTCCAATACCCAGTCAGAATTTCTTAAAGTATAGACTAAAGAAGATTATATAGTTTCTATTTGGTGGAGTCAAAAGATTGTTTCCTAGCCTTTAAAAAAGAAATTGCTTGAAATTCTTCTTGAATGAGCATATATCTACAAGGCTTAGCTTAATATATAACTATGTAAGCTAGCATAATGACACCAAAACTGAGGGATCCGTGTGTGGTCGACAATTTGATTTTTTTATATATTGGTTACATTCTTGATAATCTCTTTATTTTGCTCATTTCCATCTTGAAAAAGACGGCATTTAAGTCGATGGAATAAATAAACTTCCAGGCAGTTCTGACATCTGAATCCTTTTCAATTAGCAACTGTTTAGCCTTCTTCGTTCATTAAACTATCACCTACCTTTTACTGTTGTTATTTAAACATTAGGAAATATAATATTTAAACACCATTTTTTTTGGGTTCAGMACTTGAATGATGYATGTGGAGTATATGTGGTCATAATTGATTGAATGAAGCCTTCTCATGAGAATAATTAATAAAAAGAGAAAAGATGGTCTTAAATGAAAAGCATAGCATATTTTTTCACTTGCAGCAATAGGAGGTTTTTACCATTCAATAATGGAGATCAATGGCAGGAAGAACACAAACCTTTTGTTTCTAATATTGATGTTGCTTTGCTTTCAGCTACATTTAAAAGCACAAGAAGATCCATCCTACAAAGAGATCCCGGTGGGAGTGATTCTAGATATGGGATCATGGGTTGGAAAGATCATTCATAGCTGCATTATCATCACATTATCTGAGTTTTACAAGGTCAACAGTCACTATCAAACAAGGATAGTTCTGCACAACAGGGATGCCCAAGGAGAAACACTGCATGCTCTACATACTGGTAAGTATTATAAAAGGTTATGGGGTCAGTTGACCACAGTCGTATCTCTTTAAAATTTCATTTTCACTTCTCCAAATCTTTTTTTTATCCTAATTCTCCATAGCATTTTATCCTTGTGAGCCCATTGGAAATTACACCGACCCCATTGCTGATCGTTCTTGTTATATATATATATATATATATATATATATTGGTTTCTTAAATAAATTGTTGTTCCATCTCAATTTCTTTGTTTTGTTACTGCTAGATCTTTTTGCAATGTTTTCTTAGAGCATTTCCAACAGATTCTCTAAAAGTTATCCAAAATGGAGAACCAAAGTTCAAAATCTCTAAAGAACCCTCTCTCTCATGGTTACGTATTGGTGGAATATAATAAAAACTCCATTTCTCTCTCATGGTAATCATGTTCCGGAGAGATCTCCAAATTTGGAGAAATTTAGAGCATCTCCAACAGATTCTCCAAGATTTCTCTAAAATGGAGAATCAAAAGTCTTAAAAAAATACATTAATCTCCAACAGATGAATTGATTCGCATTTGTTGTTTTGGGACCTTAGAAATCATTTGTAGCTTGCATCTTGGCATATCCACCCTTACATGTGGCTCGGGTGGGTTATTCAGTTTCAGAATTTTTTTGACACCCCTAAGTTTGACCCTAGTCAGCTAAGTTTCTAGATCCGCCGTTTTATACCCGTGGCTAAAATATCAAGGAATGCAACTGATACCCAAACTTGGGTATAGATATGCCCTTTAAAACCATGTGACGCTGTGCATCAACCTGTAGCTTGGTTAGCATGTATGTACTAGATACTTGAAGGGGTAGTTTTTGTTGAAAAATTAAAAGGATAGTCAATATTCACGGTTTAATAAGGAAAACTTTTCAAAATAAAAGATTAGAACTTTATTGATAAAATTTTTAATAAACTTTATTAATAAAGATTGAAGCTTTATTGATAAAGATCAAAACTTTAATAAAAACCAAGTTTTATTATCAAAGATGCAAGTTCACCTCCTCGCGTGTGCGTTACACTTTCATAAGGTCCACAATACATTAAAAACCCACTTGAACGTAAAGGCTTATAAACTCAATTAGAGTTTGCATTTCTACGAATGGGGGATGGAAAAACTTCCAAACTTACAAAAATTCCAACAGTTTTTAGTCCCAATTACATTGAGTAGATTGCTAATTCCATCTTGCCCACCAGCTTTTGAGCTCTTGGAGAAGACAAAAGTGCAAGCGATCATAGGTTCAGACTCGACAGCTGAAGAAACGTTCCTGATGGTATTAGGAGATGAAGCTAGAATACCTATTCTTTCACTTTCACCGACTCCATCTTCCAACAAGGATCCTTATTTCCTTCAAGTTACACAGGATGAAACCACTCAATTTAATGGCATTGCTGCAATGGCAGAATCCTTTGGATGGAAGAATTTGATCATTATTTGTGAGAACACTGGTAATGGGAGGGATATGGCTACATTTATGGCCAATGCCTTCCGAGAGAAGAACATATCTATAACGTATAGGAGCCTACTTCCAACCTCTGCTAGCTATGAACTTGTCCAGGAAGAGCTTCATAAGCTTTCGACTATGCGAACAAAAGTATTTGTGTTGCATACTTCACCTTCTCTTGCAACCAACCTTTTGCTGAATGCAAAATATCTAGGAATGATGGGTGACGGATACAAATGGATCATCACCAGCAAGACTATGGACTTCTTGAATCTCTTGGATGGTGAAGTCATCGAGTCTATGCAAGGGGCAGTGGGTTTTAAATCATATATTCCACAATCAAGGGAACTTCGTAAATTCACTTGGAAATGGAGAAAGGAATATGATGGTAGGAGCCCATTGATGGAGGTCAAGGACATAAATGCTTATGCTATTTGGGCACATGATGCAGTTTCAGCATTAGCAATGTCTGTTGAGAGCATGGAAGCTGTTAAATCGAAATATTTGGAAACGAGTGGCTCCAGCCAAAAGGGTACAACACTTCTGAATCAGATGTTAAGAATATCATTTCAAGGTTTAGGTGGTGTTTTCCAATTTAGGAATGGGAGGATTACTGCACAAGTCCTAGAAATAGTAAATGTGATAGGTAAAGGGGAACGTAGGGTTGGGTTTTGGACAACAGATGCTGCTTTCACCAAAAAGATTGGTAAGTCGAATTCCTTTTCCAAGGATGGCCTGAAAGCCATCATCTGGCCAGGAGGTATTACATCACATAGCAAGCAACTGGGTAGCAAAAACCTCAGAATTGTCGTTCCAGCGCATTCTAGATCAAAGGGAATTTTTCAAGTGAATTATGATGCTCAAACTAATTCGACAGTCGTTTCAGGGTTTTGCGCAGAAGTGTTCCAAGTTGCCTTCGCTGCATTAGGTCAGGATGTAGCCTTACATTACATTCCAATTAGGAATAATTCTAAAATTGGAGAAATAGATTACAACGATCTTATAGATCTAGTCCATTCTGGGGTATGCATATTCTCTAATCCAGTACTCTTTGTAATCAATATATTCTAGCTACATGACTTTCGGCACAAGCAAATTAATGCACMGAGAGCATTATTAATCTGTTGYATGGCATTATTGTTTTCATCAGGAATTTGATGCTGCCATTGGAGATATAACAATCACAGCTAACAGATCTCGATATGTTGACTTCACATTGCCATACACCGATCTTGGCTTTGCGACACTATCACGAGACGCCGATGCAAGCRWATGGATCTTTATGGAACCACTTAGTTCAAATCTTTGGCTTGCGTCTGCTTGCTTTTTTATTTTACTGGCACTTGTGATATGGATTCTTGAACATCGGACAAATCAAGAATTTCAAGGTTCACGAGGACAACAAGTCGGAACAACCATTTGGTTTGCCTTTTYGACTCTTGTTTATGCTCATAGTAAGCTCTGACATCTTCTTTGTCTTGTTATCTCTAAGAATATATGTATCATTTTCATATTCTAACACGCCATTCCATTAAGTTTAGATTGATATTTTTACTTGGATGGCAAAAGTTTGGATCACTACTACAAAAACCTGTTTTAAAGTTATGCTAGAGATGTCTAAATGTCCTAATAAACTGTTTTCTACTTCCAAACAATTGTGTCCTATATATAAATGTGTTACATTGTGTGGTCCTAAAATCATTAAGTCTTATAAAACAGTCTATTATGACATTAGACATATTTGGCATCCTATAAAGCCGATTTCGTTAGTGGGTTTTGTAACCTTAAGTCTAACGAAATAGTCATAGTGGTCATCAGAGGAAACGATCAAACTCCAATATGCATCGGAAAACATGAATTGGACAAAAGAAACCGAGCAAGTGTTTGTAATTGCAGGGCAGGAGCTGCAGAGTAATTTGTCAAGATTTGTAGTGATTGTATGGTTGTTTGTAGTGCTGGTGCTCACTTCAAGCTACACTGCAACATTGAGTTCGTTGTTAACCGTCGAACAAATTCAGTTAGCATCGAAGAGAAATTCGATTGGATACTCGCCTTCCTTTTTCGTTAACAGAGGATATAATAAGAACTCAATTCAGGGCACCAGATTGAAGTTGTATTCCACATTAGAGGCATATGCCGATGCTTTGTCACGTGGGAGTAAGAAAGGCGGTATTGATGCAATTGTCGATGAAATTCCTTACATTAAGGAATTCCTTGCACAATACCCRTCTGGTTACTCCATGACCGTTTCTGAAGCTACCACTAATGGTTTTGGCTTCGTAAGTCTCCTCATCGGTAACTTTCATTACTTTTGCTATTTTCAGTTTGTAGTGTGATGCAKATAAAGTTTGCAGGTATTTGCACGAGGTTCATCCTGGGYCCCTGAGATCTCGAGACAGATTGCCAGACTACGAGAAGATGGGACTTTAAACAAGTTGGAGAATAAGTGGTTTAACCAACAACCGGTGGATTCTACGCCTACAACTAAAATTCTAAACCTTAAAGACTTGCRTGRTCTATTWGTGATCAGTGGGGTGTCRATGGCAGCTGCCCTTTTCCTGTTCGTGCTTTATTTGGTTCACGAGAAACTACATTTCAACTCCACGAAGCTGGCCGGAGGAAAGCTAGCGTTGATCAAAAGGTTTCTCGTGCCGAAAAACTGGTAATGCTGTTGAAAGAAGATGACTCGAATAACAATCGAGTAGTTATTTATGTTATGATGTAAGCATTTTATCGCAATATAAAATACACTTTCTTAAAAAGAATGATCCTATAAACTCGAGATTCTAAGGGACCCTTTACCGAAACGCTAACCTAACAAGTATTTATTGGTAAAATTCAACACTATTACTTTACCTTATTGGATAAGATTATATTCCATCAAAAAAAATATCGTATGTAACAAATTACGCGGTAAACACTATTGGGTAAGAGTCGTTACCCTCACTTGCCGGGTAAGACTTTTGGTCCTTACAATTGCACTTATAGAGTAAGATTTTTGGTCATTGACATGTTAATCCGACAAAGTAAGTGACCTGGTAAACACTTACCAGGTAAGCGTTTAGTAGACGGCCCCTAAGTAGTCAAAAATCATAATTAGACTTTTTTTTTTTGAATTTTTAAGGTTGTGTTTGGTACATTAGACAAGTTTTGACAGGACATGAACAAACTTACTGTTCCACGTTTAATCAACATGGGACAAGGGCAGGATGGGACAAATTTGGCATTTTCCTGTCACACCAAGATAGATGAACCGAGATGGGACAAAATGAGACAGTACTAAAAGTTTTAACACTTTTAACAATCTACCTTCAGTTGATATAACGTTAATATAATATTTGGTTTGATTGCCGCAACCGCCCCATCTCCACCACCACCATCGGCACCCTAACCATCTCCACCACCAACGGCTACCACTATCATCTCCTTCACAACTACCACTTTGACCTAGCACCGGCTCCCACGACCATTGTCCACCACCTTCTCATCCTCTACAACCATCATCGACCACCGCCTATTGCAACTGCTACTGCCACCACCACTACCACTATTGCCTAGTACTTAATTTTTGGTTGAAATAGAATAAATTTTGTATAAAATAAAAAAAAAGTATAATAATCCATTTAATTGCCATAAATTAAAATATGAATTTTTGCAGTACAAAATTAAATATTATTAATGGAAATTGATGTTTGTGGGGTGTCAAAATAATTAGGAAGGATGATTAAATTAGAGTTTGGTGGTTAAAGATTTGATAATTATTATTAAAATTCTTTTTGGTAAGGTTTTCACTTTCTAATGGAATCTCTAAGAGAGATAAAATTCAACCCTTTTTTCTAATTAATAATTATTACTAATCATATTTTAAATACAGTAATAAAGAAAAGATATAACGTAACATCATACGACGTTTGTCCTCTTAAACTTACTATTTATTATCAAATAAAGTCATTCCACGAGAATATTAATTGTCTTATTCTAATAATCATTTTCTTTTGTTCATCTTAAGCATTTTCCTAGACTACATCCCGACAAATTGCAGGGAAGATGGAGTTTTTCCAGCTTTTTTTTTAGAATGTTATCAAATTTCTTAAACCTCCAATCAAATAATTTGACTAAAATCTAAACATACTAATAACAATTACTATATATTTTATTATTGTAATAATAATATAAATTAAGGGAAGCAAAAAAGATGAGACCACTAACGTTATGAGTTGTACGTAGTTTGCGTTGTCTTCAACCCTGTGAATTTGTGGCCTCAAATAACAAAAACAAACCCTCAGAATTCAAGAAACTTTATTATGAATCTATATACAACCACTACCCTTGATTAACAAACCTCATAACATGTCATGGTTTCTAAATTAAACCCGTAAATGCATTCCCACATCGTTTACGACTTCAAATGGAAAAATGCATATATGAAGAAGAGAGGGATGGAGAAGCACGACCTTACTTGAACAGGATCTGTTCTATAGGCTCGTACCTCTGTATTCTTGATTCCTAAGAAGACAGTAACCCATGTCTGGTTGATGAGCCAGAACCATGTAGCCAGAGCGTGATTAACCGAGACCCATGGTCTCGACCATGACTCAGTAGATGATCGTTGCCAACCCATCTGATGGGTTCTGGCATGGTTACATGGTTGTCTGACAGATAAATTCTGAATTTTTGTTCCGTTCTGTTTTGATTCCATATTTCGGTTCTTGAACACATGCACTCATCCGGTATGAATTCCCTTTTTCTATTAACCAATACTAGTTTTATGTATAATGGGTTCTAGAAGTCGTAGTAGTAGAGTATTTAGTTATTCTCTATCTGGATCCTTGTCTTGTAGGTGCATTTAGATGCAAACCAGATGTTCGATGAAATGCTTGTATGGGGGAGGTTATGATTTGTCTTGCCATGATCATGCTCATTGAAAAACTGGATGAAACCAAAACTGTAAGTGAAGTTGGTTATTTAAAACATGTACATAAAGTATAGACTAAGAAGATCATATGGTTTCTATTTGGTTCAGTCAAAAGATTGTTTCCTGGCCTTCAAAAAAGAGATTGCTTAAAATTTTTCTTGAATGGGTTTATATGATGCAAAGCTTACCTTGATGTGAGCTAATATAATGACACCTAAACCCAAGGATCCTTGTGTGGTTGACATTTTGATTTCTTTATATATATTGATTACATTCTTGATGATCTCTTTGGTTTGACCATGTCCATGTTGATGTTGACAGCATGTAAATAAATGGAATAAAGAAATTTCCAGGCAGCCTGTGACATTTAAATCCTTCTTATTGTTATTCTAAAATTTGGAAATATAATATTTAAACAACAATTTTTTTTGGTTCAGAAGTTGAATGATGTATGTGGGAGTATATGTGGTCATAACTGATTGAATGAAGCCTTCTCACGAGATTAATCAATAAAAAAGAGAGAAGATCATAGAAGACCAAAGGGTATAAGAAAACAGCATGGCAGTAGGAGCTTTTTACCATTCAATAATGGAGATCATTGGCAGGAAGAGCAGAGACCTTTTGTTTCTAATATTGATGTTGCTTTGTTTTCAGCTACATCTAAAAGCACAGGAAGATCCATCCTTCAAGGAGATCCCAGTGGGAGCGATTCTAGATATGAGATCATGGGTTGGAAAGATTGTTCATAGCTGCATTACAATGGCGGTATCTGACTTTTACACGGTCAATACTCACTACAAAACAAGGATAGTTCTTCACTACAGAGACGCCCATGGAGAACCACTGCATGCTCTATCTGCTGGTAAGTCTTATTTAGCCATACCGGATTTCATTTGGAAAATGCGTAGGAAGATAAAAAGTAAATACCTCACAATTATACGAAGAGTATATAATACAGGAAAGGTGCCCTATATGTTATTTTCGGGGTTTTAAACTAGAGGTATAAAATGACTAAAATTAAATCTACTACTTATTGCTTTCAAGGCGAGTATATAAACTCTCTATCCTTAAAGCAATTTCGCCCCCATCGTAGGTGCTTTGGATTATGGCGAATTGCTTCTTAAGATACAATGAAGCAACGTATGCAGATTGATTATCAACAACACACACGTAGTGATATCCTGATCGGACTATTGAGTAATTAAGGATTTCAAGAAGCCTAAAAGTATGATTCTATAGCAAAATACTTTTAGGTTAATTTTGTATATTAAAAGAATTTTTTTTTTTGGTGTTTATAAGTAGGTATATATAAGTGACAACCCTCTGAACTGTCACGAATTGACAGTTTTTGACAGTTTTTTACCTTTCACGACGGTTTGAACCGTCACAAATATTCAAACAGCACCAACGGTTATTATTTGTGATTCCATAAAGCGTCGTGACTGTTCAAGCAGGTGCCTTTGTATCAACAGTTGCTAACCACCAACTCAACCATCACAATGGTTCATAATGCATACAAGTGTATATGAAACGTCACCATATGTCATTTATTAAACTGTCAAAAATAATTATATGGACCCCACCATTTCCAAAAAATATATATATATTATATATATATATATATATTAATATATAGAAAATTGTTCCACTTATATACCACTTGTGTTCTATTCTTTCACCTACGTGGGATAAGGTGAAACCCACCAAATCCAAATTTTCTCTTCTTTCAAAGGCTCAACCCAAAACACTTGAACTTATTTACTTAATTTTGAAATTTTTTCCAACAAACCCCCACCATGTATTTATGTACACATACTACTATGTTGCCTAGAGATGGCCAAATCGGCCCGGCCCGGCCCGGGACCGCCGGAGGACCGGGACCGGGACTAACAAAGGACTGGCCCGGGACCGGGACCGGTAAGGACTGGTTATGGGACCGAAAACCGGGACCGGTTGAGGTTTTTGGTAGTTTCGTGGGACCGGGACCGACCGGGACCGGGACCGGGACCGGTTATGGGACCGACTATGCAGGACCGGCCCGGCCTGGCCCGAAAATTCAAATAATTTTATAAATAAATGTATTTTTAAATAATTTTATAATGTATTTTTATAAGAAAACGTAATTTTAATTATATTAAAACGCATTTTTAAAGTGTATTTGAGTGACCCAATTGTAAATTTTATAATGTATTAAAAATATATATAATTAAAAAAATCAAAAAAAATCTTATTTTTTTAATGCAAGGACTGGTTGGGACCGGGACCGGGACCAGCGGCGCATAACCGATTATGAAGTACCTTGACCGGTCCTATCATTTTCGACTGGGACCGGGACCGGTTATGGCCGGTTATGAAAAAGGTGAGGACCGATTGGGACCGGCCCGGGACCGGTTTTTGGCCATCTCTAATGGTGCCTATGGTGTCACCAGAGACCATGAATTTTTACATATTATTATTACTCACAAGGATGAATTGGTATGGTGTAACGCTTTTAGAGAAAAGAAAACCCACAATTGACATGCATCTACCTGTAGCTTGGTTCACATGTGTGTTTTAAACTTGAAGGGGCAGGTTGCTATTCCTGATAAACTTTTTTTAGTTATAGCATTCAAAAATTTCTAAATTGGTGTTCGTATCGAGTAGAATACTTCTTGAACAATGAAAATTTAGGAAGGTTTGTTCATAGGTTATATAATCAGAATTCTTGATTCAACCTAAAACTCGACAATTTTAAAATATTTTATCAGCTAATATGTTTGAAATATTATAGTCGAATATTTTCTAATAATCTCGAGTCTTATTATAAGAGTTGTAGTAATTTCCATACTTTAAAAAGGGTAGGATGTTCTTTCAAATTATAGATACCAAGATGGAAAGGATCAAACACAGCCAAAATGATGCACAACATATCTAAATGGAGCGTAAACTATCCACTGAAGCTCGAATAACATTAGCCGGATATAGGGTGAATCCACAACATTGATGGTTTCCTTGTAGTGGTTAGTCTTGTTAAAGTCCCCCATCGGCTAGACTTATACACATCCCATCAATATATGTTAGAAACCCCCCCTCCCCTCTCTCTCCTCAAAAGGCTCTTTCAGAGAGTAATCAATGGGGTTGTATATATTTTCACATGTCATAGCCAAGGTCTGTCATCTAAGATATATTTTCCCGGGACTCAACACTCTGGGACATCTTCGACCGTCTTGCCACCGCTTGAAAGGGGGGGGGGTGCTGGAGCCTGGAGGGGGCGTGTTAGAGTCTCACGTTGACTAGACTTGGACACTTTCTTTTCAAAATATGTTGGAACACCCCTTCTCTCCTGAAGGACTCTTTTGGAGATCAATCATAAATGCTAGCTACATACTAAGCCTTGCAGATCGCTGATTATGAATTTTTTTTTGGCCACCAGCTCTTGATCTCTTGGACAAGACAAAAGTGCAAGCAATGATAGGTTCAGACTCGACATCTGAAGCAAAGTTCCTAGCAGTATTCGGGGATGAAGCTAGAATACCTATTCTTTCACTTTCACCAACCCCATCTTTCAACAACCATCCTTATTTCCTTCAAGTTGCACAGGATGAAACCATTCAATTTAAAAGCATTGCAGCAATGGCAGAATCCTTTGGATGGAAGAATTTGATTGTTTTCTGCGAGGACACTGCTAATGGGAGAGATATGGCTACGTTTATGGCCAATGCCTTGGGAGAGAGGAGCATATCTGTRACATATAGGAGCTTAATTTCAACCTCTGCTAGCAATGAACTTGTCCAGGAAGAGCTTCACAAGCTTTCAACTATGCAAACAAAAATATTTGTTTTGCATACTTCACCTTCTCTTGCATCTTACCTTTTGCTGAATGCAAAATATATAGGAATGATGGGTGAAGGATACAAATGGATTATTACTAGTAAGACGATGGACTTTATAAATTTCATGGATGATGAAGTCATGGAGWCAATGCAAGGGGTMGTGGGTTTTAAATCATATATTCCACAATCAAGTGATCTTCACAAATTCACTCGGAAATTGAGAAAGGAATATGATGGTAGGAACACATTGATGGATATCAAGGGCATAAATGCATATGCTATTTGGGCACATGATGCAGTTTCAGCACTAGCAATGGCTGTTGAGAGGACYGAATCTGTAGAACAAGTTCTCAWRCGGAACATGAAATCTYTGGAAAAGACTGGCTCCAGCCAWAGGGGTACARCACTTYTGAAYCAGATGKTAGGAATCTCATTTCATGGTTTAGGCGGTGTTTTCCAATTTATGAATGGGAGGATTACTGCACAAGTCCTAGAAATAATAAACATCGTAGGTAAAGGGGAACATAGGGTTGGTTTTTGGACAACAGATGCTGATTTCACCAAAAAGATTGGAAAGTTGAATTCATTTTCCAATGATGGCCTGGAAGCCATCATCTGGCCAGGAGGTATCACAACTAATCCAACACATAGGATGCTACAAATGAGTAGCAAAAACCTCAGATTTGGCATTCCGGTGCAATCCAGATCAGGGAGACTCTTTCAAGTGGATTATGATGCTCAAACTAATTCAACAGTTGCTTCAGGGTTTTGTGTAGAAGTGTGCAAAGCTGCCTTTGCTGCATTAAGCCACAATATAGATTTTCAATTCATTCCATTTATGATTAATTCTACAGTTGGAGCAGTAAATTACAACGATCTTATAGATCGAGTCCACACTCGGGTATGCATATTCTCTAATCCAGTATTCTGTGCAATGAATTACATGGCTTTCAGCACAAGCAAATGCACAGGGAAAGGATTATAATCTGTTGTATTTCATTATTGTTTGCATTAGGAATTTGATGTTGCCATTGGAGATATAACAATTACAGCTAACAGATCTCTATATGTTGACTTCACAATACCGTACACCGATTTTGGCCTTGGAACACTATCTCGAAACACAGACGCAAGCATGTGGATCTTTATGAAACCCCTTAGTTCAGAGCTTTGGGTTGTATCTGCTTGCTTCTTTATTTTACTGGGTTTTGTGATTTGGATTCTTGAACATCGAACAAATGAAGAATTTCAAGGTTCACGTGGACAACAGATCGGAACAACCTTCTGGTTTGCGTTTTCTACCGTTGTTTATGCTCATAGTAAGCTCACATCTTTTTTTTCTCTCTTTTTTGTACGCTTAACGCTACCAAGTTTCACTTTAATCCAATTATTATGTAGTTAGTGCGTATTCTCTTCTATCCATTATGGTACTTGGATGTAACCACTCCAATTATTATGGTACTTTAATCCAACATAACTCCAAAGTCTAACGATATGGTCATTCTGGTTTTATTAATCAAACCAAACCAAACAAACCTAGTATGTACCACCGGAGGTGGGGTCACCCTGGGGGGAGGGGATGTATGCAGACCTGACTTAAATAAACAACAGCATACAAGTCTAGCGATATGGGCATACTGGTTTTACTAATTGTTGTAATTGCATTTGCAGGGGAGAAGCTGCAGAGTAATTTGTCAAGATTTGTAGTCATTGTGTGGTTGTTTGTAGTGCTCGTTCTCGCTTCAAGCTACACTGCAACATTGAGTTCACTATTAACCATTGAACAAATTCAGTTAGCATCAAAGGCAAACTCAATTGGATACCGATATGGTTCCTTTATGGAGGGATTTATAAAGAATAACTTGAATTTTGTAGACACCAGGTTGAAGCCTTATTCTACATCTGAGGAATATGCCGATGCTTTGTCACTTGGGAGTAAGAAAGGTGGTGTTGATGCAATTGTTGATGAAGTTCCTTACCTTAAGGAATTCCTTACACTGTATCCATCCGGTTACTCCATGACCGTCTCTGAAGCAACCACTAATGGTTTTGGCTTTGTAAGTCTCCTCACTGGACCATGCTTACCTTTAACTTGTTACTCCCTCCATCCCAAAATAAATGTCCACAATTTTATTTTAGTTTTACCCGAAAAAAAGTGTTCACCTTTAAAAGTAAATGTCACTTTCCCGTTCTACCCTTAGTTATGAGATGGAAAAAGTTTCTCTTTCTATGATTAAGGATAAAGTTGTCATTTAATTAATTAAAAAGTGTAATAAATACACATTCCCAAAGCGGAGCCTTCTTCATGATAGACACTTATTTTTGGAAGGAGGGAGTATTTGACAACTTGTAGACCATGTGTAAATTGAGAGAAGGAAGAGTGCGGTGGTCTTCTTTTCGCTCACACTTCTGCAAAAGCCATGGGTCTTCACGAAAATAGCCGTTCTACTCTTCGTGGGTAGAGGTCAGGACTGCGTACAACTCACCCTGCCATACCCTACTTTCGAGGATATACTGGGTTTGTTTGGTTACAATTTGTAGACCAACACTACCTATTCTTCTTCCTAGTTAATATCTCTATAATTTGCAGGCATTCCCTCAAGGTTCACCCTTGGCCCCTGAGATCTCGAGACAGATTGTAAGATTACGAGAAGATGGGACTTTAAAGAAGTTAGAGGATAAGTGGTTTAACCAACAATCAGGTCCACGCTCCAAGGATTCTGCGAAAATTCTAAACCTTAAAGACTTCCGTGGTCTATTTTACGTGAGTGGGGTATCAATGGCAGCTGCCCTTTTCCTATTCATGCTTTATTTGGTTCCCGAGAAACTGCATTTCATCTACACGATGTTGGCAGGAGGAAAGCTTACGTTCATACTGAGGTTTCTCATGCCTAAAACTGGTAATACAGTTGAAAGAAGATGAACCAAACTACACTAAATATAGTTGTTGTGTTCTACCATAAGTTTTGAATTTGTTCTGCTCTTCCTTGTGGGTTGTAAATTGATGTTTATATAGAAGTGATTGTGTTAGATTTTGGTAGACTATGTTTCCAAACTAAGTTAGAGTAAATTACGTTTTTCGGCCCTGTGGTTTGTAAAAAATTGCGGCTTTTGTCTCTGTGGTTTTCATTCCTGTGGAGGGACATGTAGGGAAGGTTGCATGGTGGGTTGCGGAATTGCAGAGTAACGAAATGCAAACCATGGGATGCTCAGTGTAATTATTTTGAAACAAGGACCATATCCAACTTTTTAGCAAACCATAGGGACCAACTGTGTAATTACTCTAACTAATATATATTGCATACATCGGGTAGCTAGATTCGACTCGTTAGTAATGTCGAGTATAGCTCGAGTTCAAGTTAAGTCTACTCGAGTAAAATGTTGATCGAATCTTGACAGAGTTGATCTCAAATGGCTCACGAGTTATCCTATCTCGCATAAATGCATATAAATAAAACAAATCTTAAATAAAACAAATCTGTTTTTTTCTTCTTCATGATATTGGATTAATCCTTTTAATTGCACATAAATAAAACAATTCTTTTTTTTTTCATGATATTGGATTAATCCTTGTTGTGCAATATTAATGAACAGAAATTTATCATAACATATGCAACTTACCGAAAATATATTTCTAATTTCTCCCCCTTTTCATCAAAGCTCTTTAATCACAGTAACAATGGCGACATTGTTACTGTGACTTGTACCTCATGCCTAAAACGTTGTACTCTGCATTACTGTTTGCAAGTGGTCTAATCCCACATCGACAGATGCCACAAAGATACGCAGTTATATAAGGAGGATGGATAGATAGCAAACACGACCTTACTTGAACAGGATCTGTTCTATAGGCTCGTACCTCTGTATTCTTGATTCCTAAGAAGACAGAAACCCATGTCTGGTTGATGAACTACGACCATGTAACCAGAGCGTGATTAACAGAAAGCCATGGCTCAGTAGATGATCGTTGCCATCCCATCTGATGGGTTCTGGCATGGTTACATGGTTGTCTGACAGATACATTCCATTTTTATTTTTGGTAGAATATTGTTCTGATTCTTCATTTCAGTTCTTGATTTTATGTAATGAATAGTCGGGTTTTATTTTGTTATTCTCTATCTCGATTCTTGTGTTGTAGGTGTATTTGAAGTTTCTGGAGTGGTATACTGGTATGGACAACGTGATCCACTTTCAGATGCAAAACAAGTGTTTGATGAAATGCTTCTATGGGCAGGTTATGATTTGTCTTTGCTATGATCATGCATTCGTACAGAATGAATTCCCTTTTCTATCTTATGTTTTCTGACAGCAATCAAATCCTAGTTTTTATGTAATAATGCGTTATGGAATTTGTAGTAGAAGACTACAAGTACTGATTTAGTTATATTCTTGATCTTTGATCCTTGTCTTGTAGGTGCATTTGAATGTTCTGGAGCTGTATGGAAAATGTGGCCTAGTTTTTGATGCAAAGCAAATGTTCTATGGAATGCTTCTGTCTGGAGGTAATGATTTGTCTTGACTTGATCATGGATTCATTGCAGAAGCTTGTGATGCCTATATGTGTTTACAGAAAATTTACTGTATGTTGGGAGTCATATGATTGATGGGTTTGTCAAGAATTGCCGTTCCAATCATAAAGGGGGAACCCATCAATTGCTCGAAAACCCAGTCAGAATTTCTGAAAACTTAAGAGAGCCTAATTTTGGACCTGACCATAAGCCAATGACTGATTGAAAAGATGTATTCATCCATTTCCAATTGGCAATCAATCAATCCTTTTCATTTTCACTTCCATCTCACTTTTTTCTCCATGTTTCTCTGCAAGTGTTCACTTATATTACTTTACCTCTCATAATTCATAACATACTAAAACTGATTGATTTAAAAAAGAGATTGCTCGAAATTCTTCTTGAATGAGTATATATTTGCAAAGCTTACCTTGATATAAGCTAATATAATGACATTTATACTGAAAGATCCGATCGTGGCCGGCATTTTGATTTCTTTATATATGTTGATTACATTCTTGATAATCTCTTTATTTTGCCCATGTCCATCTTGAAACAGACTGCATTTAAGTAGACGGAAAAAAGAAATTTCCAGGCAGTTGTGACATTTGGATCCTTTTCAGTTAGCAACTAGTTAGCCTTCTTCGTTCATTAAAATATCACCTACCTTTTACTATTGTTATTTTAAAGTACACCATTTTTTTTGGGTTCAACACTTGAATGATGTATGTGGGAGTATATTTGGTCATGACTGATCGAATGAAGCCTTGTCATGAGATTAATCAATATAAAGAGACAAGATCGTAGAAGACGGAAGGACAGGAAAAAAGAGCATAGCATATATTTTTACTTACAGCAATAGGAATGTTGTACCATCCAATAATGGAGATCATTAGCAGGAAGAGTGCAAACCTTTTGTTTTTAATGTTGATGTTGCTTTGTTTTCAGCTACATTCAAAAGCACAAGAAGATCCATCCTACAAAGAGATCCTGGTGGGAGTGATTCTAGCTATGGGATCATGGGTTGGAAAGACTGTTCATAGCTGCATTCCAATGGCAGTTTCCGACTTTTACAACAATCATTACAAAACAAGGATGGTTCTTCACAATAGGGATGTCCATGGAGAACCACTGCATGCTCTATCTGCTGGTAAGTCTTATTTAACTATACCAGATTTCTATTGCAAAGAATGTAGGAAGATACATAGTAAATACCAAACTAACATATGAAGAGCATAATCCAAGAAAGCTGTCCTATAAAACAATTTCTAAAATGTTGTCCATATTGACTACAATACTTCTTGAATGCTTGAAATTTAGAGAAGTTTATTCAAAGCTTATATAATCAGAATTTGAAATTTAGAGAAGTTTATTCAAAAGCTTATATAATCAGAATTCTTAATTCAACCCGAAATTCAACAATAAAAAAATATCTTATCAGCTAATTTGTTTGAAATATAATAATCCGACTCTTTTATAATGGATGTTGTTTCAACAGAAAGCCTCGAGTTTTATTATAAGAACTAAAGTAATAACGGTTGAATCATAGTTTGAAGCAGTGGCGGAGGCAGTAGGACGCTAGCTAGCTGGTTGAGTTTCCTCTACTACAGGAAGGAATATTTTATTTCTATTATCGTGATTTTTCCTCTCAAATGTTCTTCCCCGAACAACCAAAGCATCTGATGTGGAAGCATTCATTTGCTTATCAACATGTCTAATCTCGTAATTCATTAAACCATTTGAAACTTCCTCAAAACCATTGAAACATTGAGTTCTCTACTAAACATTGAACAAATTCAGTTAGCATCAAAGGCAAACTCAATTAGATACTGGTATGGTTCCTTATGGAAGGATATATTAAGAACAACTTGAATTTTGTTGACACCAGTTTGAGGCCATATGCTACACCAAAGGAATATGCTGATGCTTTGTCACTTGGGAGTAACAAAGGTGGTGTTGATGAAATTCTTTACCTTAAAGGAATTTTTTACGCGGTATCCATTTGGCTACTCCATGACCCTCTCTGAAGCTACCATTAATGGTTTTGGCTTTGTAGGTCTCCTCACTGAACCATATTTAACTTTAAGCTACCACATTTCTATTTTAGTTTGTCTCAAAATAAGTGTCCGCTCCCATTCAACTCTTGATTATGAGATGGAAAAAGTATTTGCCTCTATTATTAAGGATATTATTGTCATTTAACTAACTAAAAATTCTAATAAGTATACATTCCTAAAACTAGTGTTGAGATTTGTAGCTAGTGTTGATAGGAAGTAGGGGGTCGGGGATCTTTAGGGTAGGATGGGCGGATGTTTAGAGATCTACGTTAGATATAGGGTTTGTGTATATTGTCTTACTTGACACATATTTCCTTTGTATCTTGTTGGAGTCTCACATCGGCTAGACTTGGACCATTTCTCCTGTATATATGTTGGAACCTCCCCTTTCATGTTGAGGCTCGGCATATTCATGAGGCTCACTAAGGCACCATGCCTTGGCTAAGGCGCCATGTGGGCCTAGGTGTGTCTCATAGAGAATTACTAAATACCTATTTAAACCCTAAGATTAAATTAGTTTTCTCATCTCCTAGATTTCTTAAAAAGAAATGTTATTAAATGGATGACATAAGTTAAGTCCTAATATTAAATACCAAGTCCTTAGAACTTCAAGCCTCCTTCTCAATAAATACCTAGATCTTAAAAGTTCTCCCCCACGACTCACGCTTTAAACCCTTCTGCCTCTATTGAAGTATTGTTGGTTGCTGCATTGGAGGCTTGTTGTGTGTAACTGTACGTGTGAATGTGTGTGTATATAGCTTGATAAGATGCGCCTCACATTCCTGAGGCCCGCACCTCACACCTAGGCCCCGGGACCCAGTTGCGCCTAAGTGCTCCTTGAGCCTTTAACAACTTTGGCGTACATCTCACCCCTGACATACCCTGCGTTATGGGTTTGTTTGGTTACAATTTGTAGAACAACTCTACCTGTTCTTCTTCCTAGTTAAATGTAGCTATAATTTGCAGGCATTCCCTCAATGTTGACGGTTCACCCTTGGCCCCTGATCTCGAGACAGATTGTAAGATTATGAGAAGATGGGACTTTAAAGAAGTTGGAGGATAAGTGGTTTAACCAACAATCAGGTCCGCGCTCCAAGGATTCCACCAAAATTCTAAACCTTAAAGACTTCCATGGTCTATTTTTTGTCACTGCGGTCTCAATGGCAGCTGCCCTTTTCCCATCAATGCTTTATTTGGTTCATGAGAAACTACATTTCACCTACACGATGCTGGCTGGAGGAAAGCTGGTGTTCATATTGAGGTTTCTCGTGCCTAAAACTGGTAATGCAGTTGAAAAAAGATGAACGAAACTACATTTAGGGTTGTTAGCGAGTCGAGTAGATTTGTAGGTTATTCGAGTTTGGCTAGAAAAAATATTACCAGGCTTGACTCGAGCTCTAATAACTTTTCAATAGTAGGGCTCGAGCTCGATACTCGTTTAGAGGCTCGAGCTCGATACTCGTTTAGAGGCTCGAACTCGAGATCTATTAACCCGTTTATTGGTACGACCTCATTAATTTTCTATCCCTAATTCCCAACTAATTGTCAACAATTAGATTCTTCATACAATTCGATCGTTTAATTAATTATTTGGTGTGCATCTTTGTTGTTATTTACGGCCCATTCACCAACGCTTATCCAGGTAAGTATTTACGGGCAAAATTCAACACTATCAATTACTAATTGGGTAAGATTTTAGTCCACCAAAACGGTATCGTAAGCAACAATTTATGCGGTAAGTGTTAGCCATAATAAGAGTCGTCGACATCACTTACCAGGTAAGACTCTTAGTCATTATCTCCGCTCTTACCGGGTAAGATTTTTTGTCCTTGCCATATTGATTCAGTAAGATAATGTAACCTAGTAAGCACTTACCCAAATAAGCATTTGATAAACAACCCGTTAGTGTTTTTTATTGCACCTCACGGTCAAATAATTGATATATTATCTAAATTTCATGACTTAAATGGTCATTTGATACATCTGGTGAGTTTAAAACTCATAAAAATCAATATTTGTATGAGTTTTATCGTATATAAATTACTTCAAAAACTCGTAAAATTAAGTTATTATCATTTAAAAGTAACGTATTTGATATATTAATAATTTGACCCTCCGATCTGAAAGTTTCATACACACAAACACAAAATATATTACAACGTTATTCCACCACGTATAACCAAACCGAAAAAAATCCAACCACCGTGATCAACCACTCAGCACGGAGGAGAAGGAAGGTTGCATTTGGCCGGTAACGCTATTGCGAGTGTTGGGTCGATCCCGAAAGATGGCAAGAACCTTGACTCCTTATACGAACACAAACACTTCAAGTCCGCTCCCGCAATCGCTTTACAACATTCCGGGCTCGGGTCAGCCGGATCCGGAGTTGTGACGGATGGTTTGCATGCCATCAAACCATCCTCAGTCATATCACATATTTCCACCGCCTCTAAACCACCAATCACCACCACCACCACCATCAAAAACACCACCGCCATCGTCCTTGCCACCATCACAGTGTTAGTAAGTTTACCGATGAGTTATGTAGTCACGAGATAGAAATGGGTTATGGAATGCAAGTGGTATTTAAGGGGCCTGAAGTAGGGTCCGAACTAAGAGAACCCGTGATTGAAATCACGGACGAGGCGTGGACCCGTGGTTTGGGCCGGAGTGGAGTCATGTTAGTTTGTCATTTGTGTGTTTTCTGTTGGACCATAATAACCATAATAATTATACATCGCCGGATATGGTCGAAATTATTTTTCTGGTTTTGGTTCTTTATATATTAGTTGTGTGCCCGTGCAATGCGGCGAGAGCCATGAATTTTAACGGTTTTGAAGTTTCACTGGTTTTATAAGATAAGATTTAACGATGATATAGGTTACACTTGGTCTTTACATATTAATACAATTTGAATAAATAAGAATTATGGTTCCAATTACAGACTATCGATGAAAAAAAATTGTATAACAGCTTAAAATCCAATATATTTAAAATCCAACATATTTAAACGACTCCACAAATGTGTTAGATTTACACCAAGAGCAAAGAACCAAAAAACTTGAGTTTTAAGATAAACACTCAAAACCAATAAAAAAAAACTACAAATTTGATAGATCATAAACCATGAAAAAACAAAAAAAAGATGCGTTTTTGAATGAAATTTCAACTGCTTACCATCTTTCTTGTCCAGAAACTCATATTAAGGTTGAATTAATACATGTATATATATTTCAAAAAAACCATAGAACATATTAATTCAGAATATATTATGCAATGCAATTTGGACAGTCTAACCCCAAAATATATAGTATATATATAAATAAATAACTATAAAATTATAAATCGTAAATATTAAAAATATTTTTTCACAATATATATAATATATAATAATATAATTAAGTAAAAAACTATTCAATATTGAACTCATTTCGAAGGTATTAATGAGACGATTATAATGATGTAACTTGTTAAAATAAAAATGTATTTTTAAACATGTTTTAATTGATATACGATTATGTATGTTAATTTGATAAATGTTTAAAATGGAACATTTAAAAGTAAATGACGTAAAATAAATTAATTAACTAATTATAGGGGTATAAAGTGTAAATTTAAAATTATAATTTTAAAAAAATCGGTTATGAGTGGGTGAATGTATGTGAGGAGAGGAGGGGGTAAAAAAGTGAAAAAGTATAAAGATACAAAGGGTATCTTGGACATTTAGTATGTTAAGACTTTAAGATTTTTGTTAAATTTGCTTAATAAGATAGTATATATATATATATATATATATATATATTATAAGCATTAATTGTGTATGTATAGGTTTTTCTACAACTTTTTGCTTCGTAAGAGTGTAGGATTTGTAAGATTCAATTTAAATCATAAAAAAATTAGTTAAAAATAAAATTCAGTATAAATAAGGGGCCGTTTACCCAATTGCTTATCCGGTGAGCGCTTACCGATAGGAGTCAACACTATGATTTTATAGGTGGGTTTAAAATTAAGGGTTCAGATCTCTTCTTACATTTCTCAGCTTAACTCTTCTTCTCACACGATTCTTTACCTAGATTTATATTGTTAGTTTGAAGACTGGGTGTAAATACACCGAAATAAGTATTGATACAGATGTCAAAATAAATAACATAAAATTCCAGTTATAAGAAAAATCTTGATCTTTATTATATAAAATGTTCAAATTTGGGTCAACGAAGTCAAAAGATTTAAAACTTGTCCGATACATATAAAATAAAATAAAAAACACAAAAGATGGAGATATAACAAAGAGGAACAGAAGAAAAAACAAAAAAGAAATTATTTCAAATATGAGTTAACGAAAAATCAAAAGATTTAAAATTTGTTTGATTTATATAGTTTCCAGTAATTGCTAGGTAGAATATCAGGATTCAGTATCGAGACTGAGGATCCTGTATCAAAGAATGCAATAACTGAGATGAGTTTAGCATATGTGGAAGTAAGAAGGTGAACTTTTGCTAGTGGTGCAGGCTGCGCTCTTTGTAGGGGTCGTATCCGAGGGGTTGGGGTTAGAATGAAACCAATAGTTTAAGAGGTGGAGATATGACAAAGAGGGAAAAACAAAACCAGTTCAAATTTGAGTTAACGAAGTCAAAAGATGTAATTAAAGTTTATCTGATTCATATAAAATGAGAAAACATAAGAGGAATAGATTAAAAAGGAACATAGAACTGGTTGAAATTTGAGTTAAAATCAAATCAGAAGATTTGAGTTTTATCTGATTCATAAAAAATGAAACCGAACCAGTTGTCTTAAGATATTTTTAAGCAGAAGAAAAAGCGAAAAAAAGGTTGAAATTCCTTAGATTCCATAAAATTCCATTGGAGGAAGAAGGTGTTGGTGTAATGAGAAATCAACATCAAAAGTTGCAGTGTTTTTAAAGATTCAGGTACCAAAATATTCAATTCAAAGGCTGAGATGGTGTTGACACTTCCATATGCTGTAATGTATTTGTCCTGCCTTCAATTGTCATATTCTACCTGCTTTTTTCTCAGGGTACCGTGTATTCGTTCCACTGATTTTTGTAAGTAAAATTTCGTACGGTACGAAAAACGCACACGTTAAACTTTGAGGGATATTAATAAAAAAACAGAAAAATCTCTCAAAATCAACCGAAAAAGTCCTTTGAACTCAATCAAAAAACTTAAAAAGATCCCTCGATACAATGGAATTTGGCTATAACACAACGTAGGACTTTGCGGACATTTGATCCACTTTAAAGGTACATCCGTTCGACAAAAATCTTGGGTCTGCCGGTGCTTTTAGCTATATAATACAAAATAGGTGTTGCTTACTATTTGAAACTTTTTAATGCTAATTCAGAGCATTGGAAATATAAAAAGAAATTTTGAGGTTTATATGTATCTGATGAGATTAGTAGCGAAAGGGTTCGGTTGTTCAAAATGGCATGTAGAAGGGTTTCATTTAGAATCGTCTTCTAAACCCTATTAAAAAAAATTAACGTCAGGGGAGTTTATCCGACGCTTACCTGTTAAGTGCTTAATTTACCAGATAAGACCGTATACGATAATTTAGTCGGTAAGCGCTTACCAATTAAGAGTCGTTACCTTCACTTAACGCGTAAGATTCTCCAACATTATTATCACTCTTATTGAATAAGATTCTCAACTCTTGTTATGTTTATCCAATAAGACAAATGATCCGATAAATAAACAACCCTTAATGTATACGAGAAGAAATCAGTAAAAAAATTTGCCCGATAACATTGTATATGAGCGATCAAATGAAAACCGCCCTCATTTGTGTAAACCATGTAAACTAATCTCATCCATCCATTTTCTTGATCAATGGTAAAGATTAGTTTAGTTTATTTTAAGAAATTTAAAAAATATATATTAAATTTTTTATTTTATAGTAGCGAGAAGAGCAAAATGGTAAACCCAACCATATTTTCATCATGCACCATATTCAGCACCCTATTCATCATGCACCATGTTTCACTTATCCAATGAGATTGTTCACGCACTCATATCCATTTCATGTTGTACCCATTTCATCATGCACTCATTTCATAATCATTTTCATTTACTCCATGCACCAATTTCACCATGTATGAAACCGGTTTCGTGAATATATTTTTTTCTATTATTGATTTCATAGATTTATTAATCTAATAACTTACGATTTTCATGAATCTTGACAATAATAAACCGAGACACAATATAACAAAATCCAATTTTTAATATTATAATTTAATTAAATATTTAAATGATACCATTTATAAAATTTCTTTTATTATTTTATCTTAATTAAGATTTATTAATAACTACCATATTTAATAGAAAACAATGCAAATGACCAATATATCCTTAATGATTAAATTTAATTAGAAAAAAAATGAAATTTTCTTATTGGTCGAAATCAGTTTACACAGTTTCTAAGAATTGCACGATTTTCATTTGAATATGTGTTGAATTTAAAGTAAAAACAAAATAAAAAATTCAAATAATATTTTAATAGAATTTAAAATTATCCATTTGAAAAAAAAAAGGAAATGAAAAAGGGTGGGACTGCACTGGAGCAATGGCTGTGTAGTTGCAGGAAAATGTTGAAATTTTATGGCGTTTGCTGTGTGGGCACAAAGCACAAGAACTACAATACGATGCGTCTACTGTACCCTTTCAACACTTTAATACTAATTTATATATTACTTATTTTTTCCATTATATTTATTTAGAAATTAAAACTTTTCTGTTAAAATAGAAATTTTATAGATTTATCAATTTTTTGCTCTAACAATTATGCTAAAGACTAGAGCGAGAAATTTATAAAACTCTAGTCCGTTCCGTCCATAACGATAGTCGTCACCGCCACCATCACTACAATGTCGTCACACCACCCCATCGTCGCCACATCATTACCCCCGCCATCGCCACATCATTACTTAATATGATAAAATGTTATAGAAGAATAATTGCGTCATTTATATTTGAAAACAATGGGATGTCTCGATACACACAACAAAAGATGATAACTTTAAACAACTTAACTTTTAAATGAGTGCAATTAAGTAGCTTTTGACCGATCAACTTAAATGTTTTGGCAATGTGCACACTTACACAAACAGCCATGTTGCTTTGGTTTGGTGTCGGACCCAAAATCCACTCTTTGATGTCTTGATTTCAAATTTTTTGATATAGTTTTTAACTGATGTTATATTCAGGTTCTTATCAGTCATATTGTAATCTTCAGTATGATATTTAAGTATACAATACATAGTTGTGACTTCCGATATCCCGTAATGATAGAATGTATGTATAGAAAAAGACGTAGGAGAATGTATTATTGAATAAGCTACGTATTTTCCCCATTTTAATTTATTATGTAAAGGAAAAGTTTGATACGATGTATAGTGTGGTTTTATCTCCTCTTTTGCTTTGGAAAAAGGTTTGCCAAAAAGAAAGGGAAAGAGAAAGGCTACGTAGGAGATACGTGTCTTTCCAATTGTCTCTCTCACCCCATCCCCCCACATATGTATACATATATAGTCGG